GGCCAAGCATGCTGGAAATACTCTCACCTTCCCCATTAATTGTTACTCTAGAGCATTTGACCATTTGCTCCTGATTACGTCAAAAGGCTTAGGCCAAAACATACAGTTTGCACTGCTGCTAAATCCCAAACAAAATATTTTTAGCAGAAACATCCATACAGAATACACCACCCTTAAAAAACATGATTACTAAGCTCTGTGCTATGTAGGCAGACTTAGCCATCAGGTACTTAGGTGGCAACCATCAACTTATTACCAAATGAACCATGGAAAAAGATGAATTGCTAGGACTTGACTCCTGAATTTGTTTACTTGAGAACCACCTGGAGGACTGATTTCTCTGTGTGTATTTGTTTGTTTGTTTTCATATTCAGAGAGTGAAATTGCAAAAACTTTGTTTCTTCCACTGGCAGGGAACTCAAAAACATTTTCTGTACCTAGAAAGATAACAGCTAGACTGGTGGTAGGATTAAAAAAAAAAAATCTATGAAAATTTGATTTACCACAATAAAAAGTCAATCCAATAGCCCAATTTCCACATTCAACTCCCAAAACAACGTGGTAGGATATTTGACCATAAAGATTTCCCATTGCATTACTAAAATCACTTAATTAAAAAGGCAAACGAAGAGTAATCTCTTGCTATTTTCAGAAACTGTTAATAGTCAAGCTATAAACAGCTCTTCAGCTAGCACACCTGATCACATTTAGTTTTCATATATTTAATTTCAACTAATTACACTAAGATCAAATCAAATTAGCCTATTAAGATCTGGACATAATTTGATCAGAGCTGTTATGCCTGAAATACAAAATAGCAGTTTTTAATTCAGTAGCATCAAGAAAGACAACAGCACTTTTTGTTTTGTCCATAAAGAAATTATGTATGCTATCACAGACTCCAAAGCACCAGAGCAAATTGCACATTCCTTCAGCAAGGAGCTAGAAAACAAAGTGTTGTAAGGTTTGTGAATCTAGATCCATTCTAATAGAATTACTAAGATGAAAAAACATCAAGCAGAAATACATAAATAAGTTACAGTTATGTAGAAAGAGCATGTATCCTTGCTATCAGCAGAAACATTTTTCCAAGACCTTTTTTTTTCAGAAAGTTCCAATTACTGCAGTCTTAAACTCAGTTTCCTACATTAGCTATGTCTTAATCTCAGTATAACATGCCTTTCCACTCAGCACAGCTAACAATGTGCATTCATTGTTTACCAAGCTGCCAAAACTCTTGTAGTGTAAGAAATAAGTCCTTTATTTTCTGGACTTCATATGAGCATTAGCCAAAACCGAAGTCCTTTAACCTTGCAAATACCCACTGGAAGAATAACTTTTTCCTTTAGTGTAAATTCTTCAAATCAGAACAGAAGGCCTGCTTCTTCAGCAAACATGATGAACCTAGTTCTTCAGAGAAGCCTGGGCCCCAGACTTTTAGAATAGGTTTAAATAGGTTTAAAAGCACGTATCGGCCTTACCAGTAACAGCAGATGCAATGATTACCTGCCCAGCATGTGAGCATGCACACTGCAGTTGGCCAATGGCCCACAGTCTTAAGATCCAGTTAAGATCCAGTTAAGTCTTAAGATCCATAAAAGAGAGAAGAGGTTCAACAAGATCAGGATCACAAAGAAATTCTACTTCCATTAGCAGACCTAATGGAGGAAGGAATTTTCCATGTGAGAAGGCATCAACCTAATGAAGAGGAATGCTTGCATACATGTGTCTGCCCTATCAGACAGACAGATACTTTTGATTTGATAGATATCTCTCTGGGAGCAAGAATCCCACTGAAAAAGGAAACTACTGTGTTAGGTGTTTCTACTGTGAACCACCTGTGAAGATTTCTGACAGTACCAGGATTTTACGGTTGGTTTCCCTGCTCAGACAGTACCAAAGAATTACTCAGAATATAGTAAGTAACTTAGGAAAACTCTAAACAAGCTAGAAAAGTTGGCTGGTATTCCTATCTAGAGGCTTGCTTATGAAAAGTCCTTTGTCAAACCTCTCAGCTGCTAAACTAATATGCAATTAATTCCTATTTGCCATTACCACACCCATCTGAAAACATTTTAAGGAGTTTTGCAATATGATTCTTTGGGGCAGCCATCCAACTTACATAACCTGTTTTATATTGAGGAATAAACTCTTTCCCTAATCTCCCTGTAAATAAATCCTCCCCCATCTTTTGACTATGCCTTGGTGCCAAAGTAGCTGTACTGGGGTTTGGCTGGGATGGAGTTAATTTTCCCTGCAGTTGCTCATAAAGTGTTGTGCTCTGCACTTGTAGCTAAAACTGCATTGGTATCACCTCCCTGCACCCCCCCAGCAGCTGACCTAAACCAACCAAAGAGATATTCCATGCCATATGATGTCACACTCTGCAAGAAAAGGGGAAAAAGGGGAAGGAAAGGGGGGCGCTCTCGTTATGAAGACATCTGTCCTGCCAAGCAACCGCTATGCATATTGAGGCCCAGGTTCCCAGGTCATGGCCAATCATTGCTCATTGATGGGAAGTACAGAATTCTTTTTTCCTCTGTGCTTCTGCACAGCCTTTGCTTGTTTTTGTTTCTCTCTTCCTTTTCCCTTTAATTAAATTATCCTTATCTCAATCCATGAGCCCTTTTATTTTTTTCTTTACAGCATACTTTCTTCTCCCCCTCTTCTGAGGAGGAGGGGGAGTGATAGAGCGGTCGAGGTGGAGTTTAACCACCCAGCAAGGTAAAACCACCACAGTTGTTCATTTGTTTTCAAGAATACCTAAATGAGAAAAAAGAGGTAACACATAAGATTTGAAGATTTTAAATGACCAAAACAAAAGAAAGCCAAAAATGGTAAATCTAGAGCAGAGGAAAACTGCAAAACAAATAATACAAAAATTTGTGCAGAAAAATACTATCTTTTATTAGAACCAGTAATAGTTGGGAAGAATTAGACAAATAGAAGAGGAAAAAAAAATATTTCAGATTTATCATACAATCCCTGTGTTTCACTTTTACCAGACCTACCAGCTAGTAGAATTCTTCTTTCCTTAAAGAAACCTTGATGGCAGAATTCCCTTTTATTATATGGCTAGCAAGCAATAATCCCGCTAGCAATATTTCCACTCACTACACTCTAAATCTACTCCCCTTTTGTTTAAAAACTGCTACCCCTTGTCCTATCACTACACACCCTGGTAGAGCATCTCTTCCCATCTTTCCTGGAGGCTTCCTTTAGGTACTGGAAGGTCACAGTGAGCTCTCCCCAAAACCTTCTCTTCTCCAGGCTGAACAACCCCAACTCTCTCAACCTCTCTTTGTAGGAGGGGTGCTCCAGCCTTCTGGTCACCCATCCTCATGGCTTTCCTCTGGACTCACTAATAGATTTATGTCTCTCTTGTATTGGAAACACCAGACCTGGGTGCAGTACTCTGGGGAGGTCTCACAAGAGTGGAGTATAGGGGGAGAATCGCCTGCCTTGACTTACTGGCCATGCTTCTTTTGATGCAGCCTGAGATATGATTGGCTTTGTTGGCTCATTTCTTATTGTAGCAGATTTGTTTCTGTACCTACCAAGAGACATGACACCTTGGTGATACTTGAAGCATACTAGCTCACAATGGAAAACATCCATATTTTAAAAGTTCCCTTCACTAGATGTCTTATCAATAACGCGAACAGATATCCTTCAAGAGATGCATGTACTTTTTACAAGAAGTCAGTTCTCTAACTACAAAACACTCTCCAGATTTGTCAGTCCATCCATTATTCTATTTAATTCACTGTAAAAATATTTGAAAGAACTGACATACAGAGGGCCAGGTAATATTTCATTAGACAACTGACATGACTGAAGTAATCAAACTTCCAAGACCTTCAAGTTGAAGACTTGGCATCTCAGAAAGAGCAGCTTCATCATAGTTAATGAAAAAATGATCCAATGTGTTCTGCTAATCCAAACATATTCATAAAGTTGATTAGTGAACTTTACATCAAGAACATTTATATATTAGATCAGACATGAGCTACCTCCTCAGCACTAAAAAAGCTAACAGGAACACACTGTTATGCATTGTGGCTGATTACAACCATGTAGCTGATCCAGAACAAATCTTTTATTGGATGTTTCAATGCAGATCCACTACTGACTGCAAAAATATGGTCTCAAAATGTAGGAATTACATATACCTTCAAGTCAATAGAGGTCTTTTTTGTCATCTCAGAATCTGACAGCAATATATATATATTTTTATATATATATATATTTTTAATCTCATTTCTTCTGCTTTGGCTTGGAATTCTTTTTGAGTTATAATAAAACACCAATTCCTAAGAGGCTCTTAATGTTCCTTAAGAGAGCATCTATTTTTTTTTTAAACCAACAGACCTATCCTCAAGAAAACCTAAAGACAAAGTTGGAGGTCAAGTGCAAGTTTTACACATTTTCAGTCTGCAGTGCAAGAGCAATTACCAACAGGACTTGTGTTCCAGCTTCTTTACCAGCTTCATAGCCCTTCTATGGACATGCTCCAGAGCCTCGATGTCCTTCTTGTAGTGAGGGGCCCAAAACCGAACACAATACTCGAGGTGTAGTACCAGAGCTGAGTGCAGGGGGACGATGACCTCCCTGCTCCTGCTGGCTGCACTATTCCTGATACAAGCCAGGATGTTGTTGACCTTCTTGGCCACCTGGGCACACTGCCAGCTCGTATTCAGGCGAGCATCAGTCAGCACCCCCAGGTCCTTTTCCTCTGCACAGCTTTTGAGCCACTCTGCCCCAAGCCTATAGTGCTGAATGAGGTTGTTGTGGACAAAGTGCAGGACCCAGCACTCAGCCATGTTGAACCTCACCTTGGTGTTAAAAAACACTGCAGACCTCTTTTTTTCCCCACAAAAGTAGCCCTTCTTTACTAACAGATGCTATGTCAATCAAATGTTACTAATTCTTAAAGATAACTTTTCCATTACATATTTTTATAGATTTATTGTAAAAGGTGTAACTTATGAGTCTCTTACCTTGAATTAGTGGTATGTACCGTGCTAACAGCTTTGCTCTTTTCTTTTCATAGCCTTTCTGAGTGATGTCTCCTAAAGAAACAAAGAAATAAATTCATATTGTTTGGAACAGTACTTAAATAAACCTCATTTTCATAATAGCTATGAATAAACTCATTAGCTTTGGAAAAGTCACATTAGCAACAAAGAACTCAGCATGTGTGGTGGTTGTCAGAGAAACAATTCACGGCCATGTGCACACCCATGCAGTGTTCCCTGCCTATGTATAAGTACAAGTGTCTTAAATCTTAGAGCTATACAGTACAGGAATAATTATTTTGTCTGCAGCGCTACATTGAACCCGGTTCTGGAGATATTTGCCATAATGCAGGACATAGCCTAAGAGATTTGCAGCGTAATAGAAGCCATTGAAGATGACAAACCTGATTCTGCATGTTTTTGTGGCATCAGAAACTCTCCCTGTAACAAGACTTAAGAGATCACGCTCTTGGATACTTGTGCAAGACCTTTCAAAACTAGATTGTACCACTCACTCTGCCTTCAAATTCTAGGAGGCAGTAAGCTACTCCTAGCAGTAGGTTTTATTCACATTTGAAATCTGGTGTCTAGTTGTAAACTTGTGTTGTGGTCTTCATTGTTAAGACACTATGCATCTTTTCACATAGAATAAAAGGAAAACTTCTACATAACCCCAAATAAGTTTAGGACCTTTCAGAATCTGGTACTTCTTTGATTCTACTAACCAAACAAAAAGGGTTCATGCATTGCTAATGGAAAGCTTAACAAGTTGTTTTTATTTTTAAAATTAACGAGCTTCACCCATTTTCTAGACTGCAGCATAGACATGAAAACAGTGATCACAAACAAGCTTAAAACCACTCTCACTCTCAAAATTCACACTTTCTCAAAGGCTTGCAGAACTCAAAACAACTTTTATTCATTCATTGGATATTATGAAAAAATACCTAATCTCCCTCTGTATTTCCAATGTTCCTCGGGTATTTGTCTTAAAATATAAGTTTGGTTTTAAATACCATCCACAGCTGTATGTGTTCTAAACATTTCCTCCAACATCCATCCACCTCCCTCCTACATCAGCAATCACCGGTAACAGAAATAAAGTAACTTAAATCCCACCAATTACATGAATATGCACCATTTAAAGTTACTGACAGTGTACAAAAAAAACAATCAATGAGAGCTTGAAGATATTGCTAAAAACAAACAAACAAAAACCCACAGAGGTAAGTCGCAGAATGCCTCAGTCCCTGCAGGTACCTCACATTGCAACCAAACAGAATGTGCCACTTTTTACTCAGAAACCTGCATAAATGCTTCATATCAAATCACTTTTGCTAAACAGAGAAGTTTTTAACAGAAAATATGTGGGAACATAATTATGTATATTTAATATTATATATCATTATACAATTATATAAAAATGTGACACAAAAACTAAACCTAAACAAAACCACAAATGCACAGTCAGGTGTGTCTTGGTATAGATGATGAAAATGACAAAGTATGTTCTTTAAATAAGTCATTTCTACAAAGAAGGAAGGAAAATACCAGAGAAAAAGATGTATCATTTTCAGTGGTGGCGGTAAGAAAACATCGAAGAAGCACAAGCAGGAAGAACAGTATCTTAAAACACAAGTAATTTGGAAGACCAAATCAATCCCCCTCAGTAAATTCTTTATGTGACAAAAGCTGTGCATAATACAAATTTTCCATACCGCAACTTCATTGAGGACAGTCATTATCACAGCTCCATAAAGGATTCAATCCTTAAATCAAACCTCTGCGCAGATCAGCTACCTTGTCAGGCATCACCCAGCTGAAGAGGTATGGTGTAGAAACAGCAGCTCAGAAGACAGGGTTGGAAAGAAAGTCTCATTTAAACAAGAATCCCAAACTTTTGCTTCCCACTGCATTTGAAAATTCATTGATTTTAGTGGATAAAAAAAGAATGCTGACTCTAAGCATTTTCCTTGAATCGTCTTAGGAAAAGTCTAAAGTCAAAAGCATCTCTGTAGACTTTTGCAGCCCCACCGGCAGGTCAGAGAAGCTTAACAAGGATTTCTTTCTTCCTTTCTCAAAAGCTCAGCGGTGGGATCCTCCCCAACAATCACTCCCCACCCCCTTGCCCGCTATGGTGCAGTGGGATTAACCCACTTTATTTGGCTTCTTTGTAGTCCCTGTCTCTTCCCAAAAGAGATGCTGAGCCACATCTGGTACATCAGGGCCACAGCTGCTGTCATTTAGCCTCACTTTCTCCCTAGTTATTAGATGACACAAGAGCAATCTGAGGTTTCTCAGCCTCATTGAACCAGCTGGGAACACCACAGTTAGGCAGTGGTTTGGACGGTTTGAGCTATCACTACCCTGCCTGGGATACTTGACATATTTTAAAATATGTCAGAGGCTCCAACAAAATTAATCTAAACAAAGATGAAAATGTTGAAGTGATCCATAACCGTTATTTCCTTAATTTGTGCACAAAGCATCTATAATGTAGTCACCCCAAATCCATTCAGGCATATAGCTGCTGATTAAGGGAGCCAAGCTCCTTTGTGGCTTCAGCTCTGTGCACTGAGGAGTCCTAAGAAGCTTCTGCTGGATAAGGAGCAGTCATAGACAGGAGAAAAGCTCGTGGAAAGGTGAGCTTGCTACTAATTGAGCAACTTCTCCAGTCCTTAATCAGTAGTTTGCACTTAAATTCTTGCTGGGAGCAGTGTGAGAGCACAGTACTTCCTGTGGATGAGGAAATGGCTCCTGGTGGACGATCTGCAGAGGTCAATGGAGACATTTCTGAACAAGATGACTGTGGATTAAACATACAGATCAAAAGAAAAATGTTTTCTCTTGCAAGCCTAACATCTTTAAGGATTCCACAGTTTAGTATGGATTGTGTTGGCAAGCACATTTACAGTCTCAGGACTATCATCTATTGACAAATCGCTGCAGAAGCTTTTACCACTTCTTCATTATAAAGTGGAAGTCAACAGTGTGAATACTGGCACTGCCAGAAAAGATGGTTAACTTTGGTGGTTTGAACAGGCAGGCGCGCTGCCTATCTGAAACATAACACAGAAGTCACCTGTGCAAAAATGTCATGTAAATATCCAGTGTTTCTGGGAACAGGCTGTCACCATATTTGGAGCATTGATGGGGATGGGAGAACTGATCCAGCAATCATCATGTTCTAACTCTTAGACACGCTTGGGTAAGTATTTGTTAAATGAAACAACTTGAAGTTTTATTTTACATAATTCTAGAGTATTATAAAAGGAATAGTGCATTGCTACTTGATTTTGACTTACTTCAAAATCAAACAAAAATAATCGAGGAAGATATAATTACTCTGGCATCTGTGATTTTTGTCCATTGTGAAAGCATGGCATTTCTAAGAACTACGATGAGAATCAACAATCAGAAAAGCCAGCAACACTTGGTGTCACAGCTGGGAAATCAAAAGGTGTCTCTGACAAACAGTGAACCATGCAGACCGTGGAAGAAATGGCCCGGTTTCTCACGCTGTCTGTCCTCCAGAGTAAATAATGTAGCAACCAGTCCTGAAGAAATTGCTGATGACAGAAGCATGTAGGAAAAGAAAACAGAGCAGCTCTGCAGCTCTCAGTGCTACTTCACAAGTCATTATTTATTTCTTCTGCCAGTCAGCATTGGGGGTAGACAGGGTACAGAGTCAGGCAGGGTAGAAGAAGGTTAAATAGCTGGATCACAAAAGCAATCTGGCAAGTTTCCAGGCGCAGTCAGTCTGTTTAATGCATTGATAATACATGGCTCCAGTAAATCCTCAAGCTCACTCCACAGAGAGACGGAAAAAGCTCAATTTCTGCCACTTTCCTTCTATTCCATTAGGGCTCTTTACAGAATAGAGAAAGAGATTGACAGATGTCAGCTACCTCTGTAGATATACCAGACTGACATTGGCTCCTGCCCTTATAATTATTAAAAATTATAGTTTTAAATAGTCCTGTTTTTAAAAAGTTGAGATGCTTCCCTTCAATGAAACACAATCTTACCTACTATTGCACCAGAAGATGAAATGAAGAACTATTTTCATTACGTTCCTGTTAAGTTACAAGTCTGAATTTCCACACAGACACAAGCTTCAAAATACAATGCATTTCCAAACCACTGCAACTTCATCAGGCATTTTTAAGTATGAAAACTCTTTTTGAATCACTCAACTGATATATTTTGTGAAATTATTATAATCTTCACCCAGAGTTTATAAATGCAATTTATCAAACCAGATCCAGCTTTCCTATAGCATTATGACATAAATCATGAGTATCCCTGTCTCCTCTTACAAGCTGAAGAAAGTTACATGCATCAATACCCTTGGTATATATTATTGACTGTCATCAAGAACTACACCAGCAGCATCACATTGACATTTTTTCCCAGCACAAACTTTGGAAGTGTTAGTACTTCTAGAAAAACAGTACTGACATCAGAAAAGAACCTAGCAATTTACCTTTCTCCAAGTAGTCACGTATTTTTCATATCTGCTCAAATTAACAGCTCAGACTCAACCTTCACTTGCTCGGGATATGAATTGCAGGTAAAAGACTAATCAAGAACGGGGGGTTCAGTTATTTTCATCTACAAAAATGATATTCCAGTGCAAATTTTTATTTCCTATTCAAGAGTTACAAACACTCAAATACGGTATTTTTCAGTGCTGGAATTGTGACTAGTGATACGGTTTTATACCTTGCTACTTCAAAGATTAATAGAACCAACTTGTACTGAGTTTGAGGTTACTAAGGACTACAAGTAAGTAATGGATTCAGCCATATACTTTATGTTGCCTCTAAACCTACTTTTCAAGCTACTTATCTACTTACCTTTATTACTCTCACTGTAATCTAAAATTTTAGTATTCAGATGACAATTGCTTGAGATAAATAAAGTGTCTATAATCAGGCCAAACTGAGGAAGTCTAATAAAAATGCTTCTATTCAGGAAGTAGCCCTATTTATAATTGCATTTTTAAAGTCCCAACCTTAAATTGCTTTTTAGATAACTCTGAGTGACTTTTA